GACTGACTCGCTCGCTCTGACTGACTGACAGACTGCTGACGGACTTCTGACGGACCTCACTCCAGACTTCAGACTGAACAGTATTTAGTCACCCCCCCACGAGGGCATCATGTAGCACAAGGCCGGTTTAACGTGGGATCTCCGAGCCTGTGGGATCTTCGAGCCTGTGGGCTCGGCAGGAATATGACCTTTGAACCCGTATAAACGGGTTCAGGGTCGGTTTACCTCCCCGAAAGAGACTCCGCCCTTCGGCGTAGCCTCGTTCGGGTTCCTCCCGAAGGCTGAGAGTTCAACCGACTTCGGACTGCACTCCCTGCTTCCTCTTGAGGCGCAGTATTTATCACGTATGGAATAGTCCATTATGTTATTATGGGTAAGGTCTTTCTTTCTTTCTTTTCTACCTGTTTCTTTCATACGTTCCTTTTGTCTTTCTCTCTTTTTAGTATCACCCGTTTCTTTTCCTCTTCTACATTGTTTCCATCTTTCTGCACTATCTCTCCTATCCTTTCTCGTCCTTGTTCTGACGATAAACTACATCCGGCAGCAAGGCCTCTGATCGGGGGATTGGAGCTTTTGAGGAGTGAAAACCATCTCTTCATTGTTGTTGTCCCCAGATCCAACCTGGCCCGCGGTAGTAGAGCCTGTTAGGGTCCCAGCTATAAGGCAAATAGTGAACACCCATACAAAAACCAACATTTCGTTTTTATAATAAAATAACCAAACAGTACATTTTTGAAGCCAAATAACAATCAATGGAGCATTAAAAAAATTTATAACAAAATTACCAAGACATTTTGTGATCTACAAAATATATGTCAAAAAAACATGCCATTAATCCGAAAATATAAAATTATGTACAAAATATCTGGAGTTGAAAGTATAAGACTCAGTCCAGAATATTTAGATTTTAGCATTAAATAACCCATAGAGATGTTGATATGCCGGCAAATAAAATTAACCAACTGAACAACCAACATGAAACAACTCAGTATATCTATCTATCTATCTATCTATATATAAATATATATATATATATATATATATATATATGTATATATATATATATATGTATATATATATATATCAGATGAGGTATTATGATTACTTGCATTATTTACATTATTCGAACTGTTATCCTCATCTTCATTGCCATATTTACAACGTTTCGGCTGTTGTACGCTCCGGCGTTTATGTCTATGTCTCTCTATATATCTGTCTATATCTCTGAGATGAGGTATTATGATTACTTACATTATTCGGACTGTTATCCTCATCTTCATTGCCATATTTACAACGTTTCGGCCGTTGTACGCTTCGGCCTTTATGTCTATGTCTCTCTATATATCTGTCTATATCTCTGAGATGAGGTATTATGATTACTTGCATTATTTACATTATTCGAACTGTTATCCTCATCTTCATTGCCATATTTACAACGTTTCGGCTGTTGTACTCTCCCGCCTTTTTATGTCTATGTCTCTATATATCTGTCTATATCTCTGAGATGAGGTATTATGATTACTTGCATTATTTACATTATTCGAACTGTTATCCTCATCTTCATTGCCATATTTACAACGTTTCGGCTGTTGTACTCTCCGGCCTTTATGTCTATGTCTCTCTATATATCTGTCTATATCTCTCAGATGAGGTATTATGATTACTTGCATTATTTACATTATTCGAACTGTTATCCTCATCTTCATTGCCATATTTATTAAACATTTCGGCCGTTGTACGCCCGGCCTTTATGTCTATGTCTCTCTATATATCTGTCTATATCTCTCAGATGAGGTATTATGATTACTTGCATTATTTACATTATTCGGACTGTTATCCTCATCTTCATTGCCATATTCACAACTTTACAACCGACCTTCTTCAGGTAATTGAAATTTCGTACCTCACCCTTTATTTCCTCCATCAGGGTAGATTGTTCTAATTCCACGTGCCATGCCACTTTTGGATATTTCAGTTATTTTCCTTTAAACTCAGCTTTCCAAACATGTACATGCACAAAAGCATAGAAGCATCTATCATGTTTTTAATAGTTAAAGCAGAATAACATATCATATTTTTTTTATTATTTCCAATCTCGTAATGGCATATCAACAATTTATGGGTCTTAAATATTGACTACTCCACTTTTACGATAGTCCAGTATAGATATGAAAATTTATATTATGGAACGTTGTGCATGAAAGTGAGAATTATGTTACCGGTGAGAAAAAATTATATATATATATATATATATTTTAAGACATTTTATTTGTATTTCACGTACATTCATATCTTCTCATGGTGTATCCAAATGTAAACAAATGATGTCACACATTATGAAATGTACAAAGTCCGACAATTATTTTAAGACATTTTTATGTTTGTACATTCTTTTTATAGATCCAAATATTTAAGTAAATGCTCTGCTTTATAATAAACAGTATTAAACTACATTTAACGGCCTGGATGTCCGAGAGATTTTCATAGAAAATTTTCGTCCTCCGACAGGAATCAATCCTGTATAATATACGGAACCGTCATATAGCCTGACGTGCCTTTACCGATTTGGCCACAGAGGAGCGTTCGGTTAGCAAGGTCGAATTTACTGTATTTGAACTTCAATCTTTATGCATTCTTTCAATGTTTATATATTATTTTTATGAATGTACGTGAGAGTTTCATGGATGATTGATGTTTAAAAGCAGTAAATTCGACCGAACCGAACGATCCTCTGTGGCCGAATCGGTTAAATAGGACGGTTCCCTATAGGATACAGGTTCGAATCCTGTCGGAGGACGAATATTCTCTATGAAAGTTTCTCGGACATTCAGGCCGGTCAATGTTGTTTAATACTGTTTATTATAAACAGAACATTTACTTAAATATTTTTATCTATAAAAAGAACGTATAAACATAAAAATGTCTTTAAATAATCGTCGGACATTGTCAATTTATAATGTGTGACGTCATACATACATATATATATATATATATATTTAATTTATTAATAGGGTTTATATATATATATATATATATATATATATATATATATATATATATATATATATATATATATATATATATATATATGTGTGTGTGTGTGTGTGAGTGTGTGTGTATTTCCAGTTTTCAATTAAAGATCTCGCTACATATCGAATTGTTGCAGAGAATTTGACCTTTAAGGCCAACCATTCTTTTGCCATATTAATTTTCATTAATTCTGAGTGCATTTTCGGCAGAGAGCCATTCCGTTTGAATTCTACTGACGATGCATTTAGCAAGCTTGAAGCGTCTTTAAAATGAATGAAATCCTTGATCACTCCGATCCAGGGAAGTGTGTGTGTGTGTGTGTGTGTGTGTGTGTGTGTGTGTGTGTGTGTGTGTGTGTGTGTGTGTGTGCTTATGCGCATGTGCGTGTGTTCATGCATCCATGTGTGTGTGTGTGCTTAGCTTATGCGCATGTGCGTGTGTGCATGCATCCATGCGTGTGTGTGTGTGTGTGTGCTTGTGTATATGTGTGCGTGTGTATGTGCCTGTGTTTAGATAAGCACAAAAGGAAAACTTTTGTTTATCAACGCGTTTCGTCTAAAGAATGCCATACGTATTAAACGAGAAAGTAACTTGCCGCTATCGAATCTTACCTAAAATGTAAATCTGCTCTCCGATTTTTATGTACCCTGTCCTTTCAGAACGTAGGTGATCATGGCTCTCCACTTCACCCTCATCCCTTGTAGCTCTCAATGAGTTTCGACCTTCTGCCACCTCCCCAGACAACTTTCTGTCATCCACTTGCTTACACCGGCCAGGTATGTCATACGTTGCTTTCCCTTGTCTTTCTTTCCTTCTATTCGTCCTATGAGTATCAGATTCTCCAGGCCCTCCTTTCTCATCAGCTGCCTCTTTCTGGTGGTAAGTATAAGCCTCTTCCTTGTTTGCATCTTCTCTAAAACCTCATCGTTAATCACACGCTCAGTCCATGATATCCTCAGCATCCTTCTGTAGAACCATATCTTCGTTGCCTCGAGTCTTTTCTGCATCTTTGAGGAGACCGTCCAACATTCGCTACCGGACAAGAGGACAAATGTCACGTAACAGCTCAGTACTCTTTTCTTTGTTAGCAAAGAAATCCTCCTGTCTCGAAATACTCCGCCCACTTTTTTGAATGTGTTCTTGGCCATCCCAATACGTCTTCGGATCTCGGTGTCACACTTACAGTTCTTTGTCAGAACACTTCCCAGATATTTACATTTTATCATCTTCTTGATTTTAGGCTTCTCGACCTGTAAATCACATTTTGGGATCACCTTTTTATTGATGACCATGCAATTCTGTCTCCTTGTATATTATGCTTAGTCCCTTCTTCTCGCCCTCCTTTGCTACCTTATGTAAGAGATTTTGTAATTTCTTTTCCGTGTCTGCTATCAATACTGTATCATCAACATTTCTGGTCATAATATGGATTTTTTAAATATATATTATACTTTATTTTCCATATTTCGCTACACGAGTTTCGGGTCTTGTGACCTTCATCAGGCAAAGAATGGTTATTTTAGCATATTATTTAAAGGAATTAATTATTCCTTATGTTTTCCGATGTTTAATCATTGTCTTTTAAATGTAGAAAATATGGAAAATAATGTATAATATATATTTTTAAAAAATCTACATTATAACCAAAAACGTTTGCAACTTCTCTCTTCTTCTAATAAATAAATAAATAAATATATATATATATATATATATATATATATATATAT